TCCGGCCTGGGTGGCACAGAAAACTTTTGCAGCTCAAGGTCCAAAATCCTCCTAAGAGAAACTCTAAATACCAGCGCTCCGGCGGGCGGCTTCTTCAGCTGTGTGCACTCCAAACAGATACTACGAGGCTCTTGAATCACAGCAAGCTGGAAAAAATGGGCAACCGGCAGGGCTTAACGTGTGCCATTAATGATCATCACACTTCAAAGGATGCTCATGGTAGCCAGGAAAAGGAAGCAGCCGCATGGAAACAGGTGACGGGAGGTGTTCACTCGTTCTCGTCGGGATTCTGAGGGTCAATTATTTTGACATGGGTGAAAGGGAAGAGCCCCTTCCTGCCATGGACTTCACCTTCCCACTGGCCGTTGATATTCATCCGTGTGACCTTCACAAGGTCGCCAACCTGTAGGGGAAAAGAAAGAAAGAAAAAAACAACCACAAGACTTAGCAATGTTTTTAGTTTCAGGACCACCTTCTGGAGGACTTTTGGTTCAGAAGTGACACAGTGGATGTTACTAAGCCGACCTCTGGCCTGTGACGGCGGGCACTGGCTGATCCAAAAGCCATCCTTCCAAGCGGGTGCGGCTTCTCAGTTACTCCCCTGGCCCTTCAGCCAAGCCAGAAACACATGGAATGCAAAGAGTTTCTAGGAAGTCTGAAGCCTTGTGGCCTTGGGGGGGGGGGCACAGGGAAGCAGCGGCAACTGAGAGCAGCGGGAGGGGGAGCGACCTCCTTGAAGAGGAGAACTGAGACCGCAGGTAAAACCAGCCTGTCTCTCCTGTCCTTCCACTGAGGCACCTGGCCGGGTTGCCCTTTCCCGGGCCAAGACCCCTGGGCAAAAATGATGTATTGGTGAATAAGGGCCAAGACTCCCCGGGCAGAACAGCAGACCGCATGGCCCTCCAGCTCTCCCAAGAAGAGTTCCTGCCGGGCCACCCCACAACCTGGCCGCTCAGCTGAAGCCTCTCTGGATGGGCCCAGCGATTCCGGACCCGTCTTTGGTAAGAG